TTACAGAAAATCCAAATATAATGCTATCCAATCTAAATACTATTATAATAGTATTATAAACTCTATTTTATGTCAATCCACACAGATTATATTCTTTGGTATCATGGTTATTACAAAATATTACATCTTAGAATTTATACTGTGATGCACATTTATATAACAAAACTGAATGTACCACACTAAAGGAGTTGAACACATGCATTATATTTACACAAAATATAGTTTATAACACATAAAATATCATTTAAAATGTCCTTTCCTTGACTACAAGATCAGTGTTAAAATTAATTAGTCTTTGATTATACCCAGTTAAAGGGTTGATTGAAGGGGATGGGAACATTGCACAAAATTTTGATATTGAAGTCAGAGAATGTATCAATGACTCAAATATCCACAATCCCATATCTTTGGGAAACTGTATACCAAGTCTTCAAATTGCTGCTCGGTAATAAGCAGAACAGTTTTAAGGTTTAATATTTGTGAAGGATGCTAGCAGAGATGAACATTTAAGGCTTATTAAAGTAAGTACAAACAATACTATTATTCTACACAGAAATTCTTATAATTGTCACAAAAATATCAAATGCATATTATATCATCTCATTTAAATATTTATACATGAATAGCTCAAAAATTGAAGACTGATGTAGGGGTACATGATTAGTGATTGTTATTTATATAAGGTAGACAGGTAAGTGCTTTTCCACCCCTGGCCATGAAACCAAACTAAAGTTTCTTGAAGTTGGTCACAAGTTCCTTAAATACCTTCTATAAGAAGTAATTTGCTTCCCCAAATAATCACTAAAGCAATAGTCTAGCTACCTCAGACAGTCCTTATCATTTCTCTTAAAAAAACATCAAAGATAAAATGCATTTCCATCAGAAAATGTGTCATCTAAATTTGCTAGACTTTGTGCACTGCCATAGGGTCAGTCTGGTCAATGTTCCTTCATTGCTGTGCCCCTAGTTTCCTTTGATACTAACTGGGACCTCACTGGGTGGATCAGAAGTATCTTGAGTGCCTCTCTTCTCTCTTTCCCTCTCTCTCTCCAAGTCTTACTTTCTTTTTTGGTGAATATTTAGAACAAGTTCCAAATCAAACACAAAACTGCTGACTCAAAGCAGTTATGAGAGTCAGCAGAAAGTAGCTGTGGAAATCTCAGCAACAACACTTATTTTAATGCTTTCTAAACACCAGCACACACACACGCACATGCACGTACACACACAGACACAGACACACACACACACACACACACACACATATATTTTTGAAATTCTCCTATTCCTTAAGAAATTCAGAGCATGGCCAAAGATAATATGAGACTTGGAAAGATCTCCTGGACACTGACGTAACTGACAGTAGAAGGAGAAAAGTTTTAAAATAGCTAGTGTGCTTTACAAAATCTTTATGTTCACATCTGTTCATTATAATATTCCAATTTGAACACGTATCAAGTTCTAGGAACTATATTGGAATGAAAATTATATATCCTTCCCAAAATAACATTGGCATCATGTATTCCATGTATAAGAATTCTTGAGATACAGAGTTGAAATTTCAAGAGGGTATGAGATAGAGACAATATTGAAAATAGAAAGATTATCATTCAGAGAATTACAGTGACTTTGTGTGAAGGTATTATATAGGAAATAAATAGAATGTTTCTTTTGACAAGAAATATTGAAAACTTGGTAAGTGATTAATTAGAAAGGTGCTAGCATCCAATTTAAAAACGTGCTATTACATCCTTTAAAATTTTATTATTTATATTTTATGTGTATGACTGTATTGCCTGCATGTGTGTAAGTGCACCTATGCTGTGCAATGCTTGCAGAGGTCAGAAGAGGGCATCCAATTCCCTGGAACTGTAGTTATGGATGTTTGTTAGCCGCCATGTGGGTACTGGAAATCAAATCCAGGTATTCTGCAAGAGCAGCCAGTGGTCTTAACTGGCTGTAGTTCCTACAATGATTTATTGAAACAAATAGCTCTAGATGATGTTCCCACTATGGGTTCTTAAGAACTGAATCAGTATTTTGCTTAAAGTCCCAACATCAACAATTAAAACAGAGTCTAAAGTCAAGTATCTATGTGTTAATTGGGATGAAAAAATTACAATGTGTTAGCTAAATATTTTCCCCAAAACAGTGTGACAAATTTTTTCTAATAACAAATATAAGCCTCCTCTTAGCATATGAGCCAAGAACTGTACTTTTAGGCATTTTCCCAATTGGCTTGAAAACTGTGTTTACAAAGAAACCTCCTGCTATGTTTACAGTAATTGTATTTATTATTGCCAAAATCTACAAGAGATAAAATAGACTAAGATATTGGTTCGTAGGCGGAGACACAACTATACAATGAAATCGTATTCAGTCATAAAGAGAAATCAGCTGTGGAGACAATGCCAGGCATGGGATGACATGGTAGTATAGGTTCATTAATTGCAATTAGGCTCTCACTCTCATAGGAGAGGTGCAAGTTTGAGTAGGTAGTACCCAAGAATCCCTGTATGCTTTCTTCACAGTTCTGCTGTAACAGTAAACAGATTTTAAAAGTTTCCATAGCAAACAACGGTCCTCAAATGTATGCTGCTGAGGGAAAGTCTCAATAGGTGAGCAACAGAGGATGTTTAGGGCAAGGAGATTGTTGCATGTGGTTTTACAATAGCAGCTATATAACTTCGTGAATATGTCAAAATCCATATGAGGAGAACAGAATAAACAATGCATGCCTATTTAGGAAATTGGAGAAGGGGTCCAAACAAGAGATGCAGTGAGAGAAAATGATGTAACTACTTTAAAAGCCTTTTTCTACTTCTGTAGAACTCCCAGCACGTGATACTGTATACTGTTGATGAATTTCATTCATGTATGTGTATCACCTAACAATTCTAACATGACTTCACATGTATTTTTCAATTCAGATTTTCAATTAATGGGTGGTAGATGCAGGAAACCAGGCTTCTTACTGATGGATAAGCAACTAGAGGCACCCAGAATAGTCTACAAAATTTGGGAAGGTAGTTGGAGATGTTAGTATGAATTCATGCTTTGCTTAATACAAATATGAAGGACAGTACAGAGCAATGTACAGGTATGTGCATGTGCATATGTAGTGTGTTGTGTTTTTAAAGAGCTCTATTGGCCTGTAACCCACATGTCATTAAATTTGCCACATA